CTCTCCAGTAGCTCCTCATTTTTCTTGAACTGGGGAGCCCAGAACTGGACACAGTACTCCAGATGGGGCCTCACTAGGGAAGAGTAGAGGGGAAGGAGAACCTCCCTCCACCTGCTGGCCACACTCTTCCTAATGCACCCCAGATTGTGGCACCCCGCCGTGCCGGGAAGGGTGGCAGTGACTCGCCTCTGCAGGGCAGAACGGAGGTTGTTCCATGGCCTGCAAGTGATCCCATCACGCTGCTTGTGACCAGGCGCTTTGCTGCTTCTCCTCTTCCGTAGCTGGGCGGGGAGAGTGGTGGGTGGGGGGGAGGCAGGCACATCGCGTGTGGTCGTTAGTGGCTGGAGGGGATGCGGGATGGGAGACTCGAGCCCCATTCGTATGCTGGTGTGATTATCTGAGGCCTTGTAATCACCGTAATTAAAAACGTAATGATATTCTCAGGTCAGCGTGGCGCAATGCCCAGTCATTGCACCTTTTCTTCCCACATCATGTCGAGGAAGAGCTCCTGAGGTCCGGCTGGCTGCATTTCCACAGAGCGGTGCTCCTCCAGGGGACCGCGTCTTCAGGAGCACGTACCTGATGTGTGCGTACAGGATCTGCCCTGCCAAAAGCAATGGGATGACTACCTGTCTTCTGAGCTCTAATGCCATGCGGAGCAGAGGACTGGGGTGGCTTTGGGCCACCTTCAAGCTCTCTGGCTCCTAGTGTAGGTGGTTGGCCTCTACCTTCAACAGTTCACACCAGCATCACATACCCACACTGGCCTTTTTATAATCATGGCAGGATAAAACGGGGAACATTTATAAGGGCATCTCCTATTAGGGCGGTCCTTAGACACCTAAATCTGTCAACTCCCAGTAAGACCATTTGGCTCAGCAAGGAGAAGACTGGGTTTTTGTTCATGCTGCCTATGTGGCACGACTTCAGTGGTGGGATGATGGCAGCGCCTGTCACAGCCCTGTGATCTTGCCTAGAGGACAAGGCTGTTTAAGATGTATGTGCAGCTGTTCTGGGGAAGGTCCTCTGGGCGGTGAAACTAGCACATTTCTTTAAAAAAAACCCCAAAACAAAACAGTGCAGGGGAGAAAACCAAAATGGGTCACTACTTGTGCAGTGTCAAAAACAGAGGAGCGTGTGATTTTCCTGGGTGACTGGACTGGGGCCAGAGGAGCTCTTGAGTTCACAACCAGTTTGACTCCAGTGAAGAGGCCGCTGTTTAAACCCTTGCCATTTATCTGCTCCCGAATGTTGCATTTACTTTGGGTGGGCTCCAGCTGTCGTAGTCCATTTGTAACGCAGAGCCGAGGCGGCTACGTCCCCAGCAAGCTGGCGAAAGAGCGTGCCTGTTGCAAGCCGTGTGCCTGTGCAGGGCCTCCCCTCTGCCTTCCCTCTCCAGGGGCGGGGTGCCAACGTCCAGGAGGAATTACACGCTTTCAGAGCAACGGGTTTTTCTACGCCTTCATCAGTTGTTAGGCTTCTGTAGCCAAATGAGGAACGTGCTCCTTTGGAGAGGAGGGTACTCCGCGCCGCTCATTGGTATTCAAAAAGCACGGCAAATGCTACTGTGCAGCCATTTGTTATGCAAAAGACCCTGTGGAAGTTGGTATCCTGTGATATGTCCGTCGTGACTTCCTTTTGATGGATGCCACCTATTCCTTTTGTTAGCTTCGGGCCAGGCTGAACACGCAGCCGAGGCCCCACTGTAGAACAAAACCAGAACTTTCTTTTCTTCCTTGTTGAATCTGTGAGTGTTCTGCAATAGGCAGAAGGAATAAAAGTGGTTTATTGAGGGGAAAAAATAAAACAAAGAAAGAAAACGTGGGAAATAAGTGAAATGGGCGCTAGTCAGTGCGCTGTGGTACATCTTCCCATCTACAGGCCTGTGCTGCACTCTTTGATGGATAGGTTCTGTGTTCAGATCCCTGATCCAGCTGTCAGGCAGGGAAGCTGAAGTAGGAAGACTGGGTCCAAAAACAGGACTTCAGAATGTTTTTCTGCTGTATAGTAAAAAAGGTTGTTCTTTTCCTTCTGGTTTATATGTGCTGTATCTGCTGCCTCACGTGGGAGAGAAGTGAAACTGAGTATATATATCCCATCTGCGTGCTCTCATCCATGGGACTCCACTGTCCGAGAGGATGAAGCTTTGGGCAGGAAACGTTCATTTAAAAGATTCTTAAACAGAAAATTAAATTTTCAGAAAAGAAAAGCAGTTTTCCTGATAAATTATCGTTGTTTTCCACAACAAATTCTAATTTTACCTTTAGCGTTTTCTGGCAAAAAAAATATCTGGTCATGATGCATCCATGCAGATACAGGAGAAAGCGGTTATCATCTGGGTGGTTCTTCCTTCTGTGACAGCCGTACGGTGCCTGCCTGTGTTTTGTATGTCCGGGCTGTGTGACTGGCCTCTGCCTACCAGTGCAGACTCCTGGGAGGCAGCGTTTCTCATTTGGGAATTTCTAGGGGAAACGAAATTGAAGTTTTTGCTAAACGAAACTGCTTTTCAGTCAGTCATATGTATAAGTCACGTAAGGCCCTCTGACCTTTGAAGAGGTGACTGTGTCAGAAATCAGTGCCACTGAATCGGAGACCAGGAATCAAAAGTCATGATGACAGGCAGCTTAAGCAGACCGCGTTTTAACCAACCTTTCCCGTTTCCAGGAATGCATCCACCTATGAAGTTTCATCCTCTCAATCCATCAGCTCGCCTCAGCGGTCGAAACGAGTGAAGGAGAACACGCCGCCCCGCTGTGCCATGGTGCACACCAGCCCTGCCTGCAGCACCTCCATCACCTCCGGCTGGGGCGACGGGGCCCCGCGGGAGCGGCAGCGGCAGACGATAATCATTCCCGACACCCCGAGCCCCGCAGTGAGTGTCATCACTATCAGCAGCGACACAGATGAAGAGGAGGAGCAGAAGCATGCGCCCACCAGGTGAGCAGCGGCTCTCTGCTCTTCTCTGTGGGCAGGAGAGAGAGAGACACGGAGGCAGAGAAGTGCTGGAGCATCCCAGGAGTTGCTGTAGGGTCACAGGAGTTACGGTTGGGTCTCAGCACCCAGGTCATCTTTCGTTTGAGAGGAAGGGCAATAGGGAGGCTGAAATACTGCCTGAGGACTCTGCAGACTTAGGTGGTGTTCCCCACTGTGCTGTACATTTGCTCTGTGACCTTGGAAAAATGTAGTAGTCTCTCGGTGCTGTAGTTTCACATCCATAGGAGGAAATAGTTTTCTTTATCTCACAGGCTTGTTGAAAAGGAGACTTTAGAGATCCTATGGTGATAAGCCCGTTTAAGTCAGACAGCTGTCTAAGACAAAGACAAAAAGAAGAGCTTGGAAGGAAGGTAGCTTAAAATTGCCTTTTCTCTTTCTAAGCGATCCAGGCATCTGCAAAGGGTTCGTAAGTCTCAGTTTAAGAAGGACTGGTAATGCTGATAAAATACGGCACTGCTGATGCAGTGAGGGGGCCCTACAGGTTGGATTTACTCCCACAGAAAAGCCTCTCTGTAATACCACAGCAGCAGAGAGAGCTTTTCCTAGTAACAGGGGATGTAACTTTTTTATTGGAGACAGAAAAATCTGAAGAATTCAGTGTGATACGGGCAGAATTTTCCTTCTCCCAGTGAAAAGCACAGATGCTCAAGTCGGATATTTATGAAATAGTGGCTGACCGGGCAGGCAGGCCAGCACGTTGCTCGTTCTTCGCTCGCGTGTGTTTTGCCCTGTAGACGAGCGTAGCATGGTGTAATCTTTTTAAAATCGATTGGCATCTGAGAACATTGGGCTCCTGTTGGGTAAAGGTGCTGGGGAGGTGGTGCGAGGTGGACTCAGGGGGACCTGCTCCTTGGGACTTTGTCAGAGGGGGCTATCTGCTGGGCTCCAGCCCCGTGCCTGGGGCGAAACCAGGCAGGAGGGACCTTGGGTGCGGTTCGGCGGGGACCGTACTCCGAGGAGTGGTCAGGGATTTTCAGGGGGCAAATTTCTGATTTGAAAAGTCACTTCGTCAAAACCGAGGCTTTTTGCAGAATATGCTGAGATTTCTGTAGTATTATCCCCAACACGGTGAGATCTGGGGAAGCTTCAAAACTGCAAAAAGGTTCTGAATATTTTTTGAGGGGAAGAAAGCATTAGGTGATTAACTACTTAAGGGAAAAACTTCTCTTTTCTGCTTTAATGGAGGGGTTTTTTCATCTTCCAAAACACAGGGAAACAACAGAAAACAAATTTTGAAATGGTCTGAATAAAAAGGGAACATGTTGACTGACTGAAACTGGTTTTACCTGGTTTCTGATGCCCACAAAGTTTTGCACATGACGTTTTGTCCCGCAGAACGGTTGAAAAGAATTTGCGTATAAAAAGCATTATATGGGCAGGAAACAATTTTGTGATCCTGTTTGTTTATCACCAGTGAATTTCTAGACTCTCAGTTCAGCACCCTTTACAAAGAGACTCTATAGAGCAAAGAGACGTTTACTGCTGTGCTGTGAGATAATAGGCTGACGCGTATTCCGTAAAGAAGAATTTAGGTCTAACCATTACCTGTAAAGCACTGAAGAGAGTAAAAACAGAGCACAGACTTGGTATTTTTCTTACAAGTTTGTTCCTCTTATGTTTCTCTACTTGCTCTAGTAATAAAGTTGAGCAGACAGACAGACAGACAGACCAACAGCGCAACTGCAGTCGCAGTCATCGGAGCGCATATTCAGCAAGTAGTAAGTAGTAGGGGTTAAGTACTCCCCAGTATGCAACTTCACATGGTGCGGTGGTTTAAATGTAAATCCTCCCTTGATTAAATATTTCTGAAGCTTAGAAGCGGAGAAAAACAAAGCAACAACTTAAACACAGAGCAGAGAGGCACGCTGGCATTGTGGCTGCGAGGGAGGGAGGGAAGAAGGGAGGGAGGGAGGGGGAGCACCCGTGGCCCTGCGGGAGGGACACGCCGGTGATGCGGCCGCGTCGTGGAGCGTGGTGGGAGGAAGGGGTAGAAGGAAAGGCAGTGGAGGTGGCCATTGCGAGGTGCCGGGATGACTTCCCGTCCAAGCAACAAGTGCAACAGCCAAGGAAAACGTGACTGTTTTCCTGAAACAATACAGTGATGGCCTGGAGGTGGGTGGTTTGCGGGGTGCTTGCACCCCAGAGAGGCAGGAGAGCCCCTTGCTTCCACACTGCCTGCTCTGGTGTCTTCAGTGACACCTCTCCAGCTGGTTTTTCCATGGGGTGCTCACACTAATCACTGTCTTCCTGGGCAAGAGAGACTGACCGCAGCTGTTGCCTGGGCATACGGAGTAGCTGCCTCGTTGGCCACCTTCACTGGCACGAAATTCCTGCAGGCTTGGGGCTTTTTTCCCTTGCTTTTAAGATAGTGAACTACACAGGGAAGTCTCTGTGTGAGTCTCACCTTTATAACGGAGCGTAAGCTGATGCAAGTTGTTACCTTATTCACATTGTAGTGCGGTGGTGGTGGAGCCTACTTCAGAGGACTTTAATTCCCCTTACACACAGAAGCTGCTGTCAAGCACAAACCAGGTGTTTTTGCCAACTTGCTGGTGTGTGTGTGTGAGGGTCAAAATACCCTTTGTGATTCTTTTTTGACATCTAGCCTGTTGTGGCTACGTTATGCTGTGCATAGTAGTGCACGGACTCGGCATAGCAGTGTGTTGACTAACCACAGCCATTTGGTAAAAAGATTGCTGCCTTCCATCTCCGTAAGACACACCGACATGCAACTAATACTTAAAATAAGAGACAGACAGTAGCTCTCTCAGCAAACCTTCAGCAGCAGGACCTTTACAACCTGCTAAGCAATTCGGTATAAATGACTTAAGTAACTGCAGCACGTGCTGCATAGCCTAATAAAATGGCCTCAGTGTAGTCCTTACTAAATATTTCTTACCATCACCAATTCACAAAGAAGGTGAGAGTGGAGTAACAGGTCGGGACGGAGGCTGAGCTGAAGAGAGAGGGGCATGTTCTCAACACTGAGCTATGCATGGCATAAGGTTTTAATGTGGAGAGAGAGATTGCAGTTGTAGTCTGAGTTTTTGTTGGCTGGCTCTGTACTTCCCCGGAATAGGTGGATTATTCTGAAGCAGCAAACTGAAAAGGTTGCATATTATGAAGTTTTCATAGACCTGGAACACATTTTTTAAATCATGTGATGTAAAGCGAATGTGCTGTGGTGTACTTGCACCCCAGTTCAGAGGCACAGTTGTGGGATGGGTGCCGCCTTCCCTCAAACTGGGCGGCCATCTGGGTGACCGTGAGAGCCGAAAGCCGCTGTTGCAGTCGTGTCAGCCACACTGAAAGGTTTGTGTCTCTTTGGGTGAACCGTACGCTGAAGAACTGCCCTCACTAGACCACAATTGCTCTTGCTGGGGAGCTGGTGAAACTCGAGATATTCAGGGAAAGAGATCCTGTTCATGCAGTGCTACCACATACCGACCTTTGGGTAGGTTTCTACCTGCTGAAGGCAGGTAGAAACCATCTCAGGTTGCATTGTCACAAGAGCTGCTGTCCCTGTCCTTGTCCTTGGCTATTTAGGTGATTTCAACATTGTTTTAACGTCTAACTCAGCACGTTATTTTCCTTAATTTCCTCCCACTTTTCATTCTCAACATCTGCCTTCGGCACCTTTCCGTTAACAGTATCTCAGATGCCCACCTTAGTTTCTCGGCCAGCGCCTGTGCACAAGCTGTCTGTTCTTTCCTCCCTCAGACTCTTCCTTGAAATCTTTCCTTGCTGTGGGGAATGGGGACCCACGTCCATCTCTCCAGTGTGCACTCACGAGGGGGGTGTGCGTCAGAAGCTGTCTCTGAGACCTGCTTCTGCGTGTTTGAAGGCACGGTCGTGCTCTGTGTCTCCACATTGGACGGACAAGAATGGTTTTCTGTCCAGGTTGGAGAACAAGCTCTTCAGGACTAGGTGGGGATGGACTACCACTCATAAACTAATAGTGAACTTACAAAGCAATGTGTATTTTTCTGTTGAAAGAGAGGAGACAGCTCCAGCCAGTAAGGGTTAAAAAGCCTTCCTGGCTTATTGCTTTTCAGTCTGTGGGGATGGATTTGATGCCACTTGGGTAATCTTCCTCCCTCCTCTGGAGAATTAAAATACACCTGCCCACGTAATGCAGGCAGGCACACAAGCTGACCAGGAACACATGCCGACTCTCAACACTACAGAATCACGTATGCTGTTGCTGTTGTGCTTGCAGAAGGGAAAGCAATTGCCAGGCTTGGAGTGAGCTTAATAGGAAGGGGGCAAGATTTTTAATAGTATTTTTCTGTGTAAGCACAAACATCCTCAAAAGCTGTGGCTGAGTTATGGGAATACGGTAAGATTGCTGAGTAGGCAAGTGCTGTGTCAACAGGTAAAAGCTCTCAGGCTTGATAGTTTGTGAGCAGGGCAGG